AGTCATCGGTTTATTGGTTTAGGGTTTAGGTTTAGGGTTTAGAGTTTAGGGTTTAGGGTTTAGGGTTTAGCGTTTAGGGTTTAGGGTTTAGAGTTTAGGGCTTAGGGTTTAGGGTGAGCTGTCGACGAGAAGACGGTAAACAGTAAATCTTGAGGGCTTGGGCTTTCAATCGAGCTTGATCGACCACCCTAAGCCCTGAACAAACCCGACCTTAACCCCAAATAATAACCTTCCTTTTTGGGAGTTATATAAAGAAATCATAATATGGGGCCCTAAAATGTTGGGCTTTGTAGGGTCCAGGTAAATCCTAAACCCTAAACCCCAAGCCCTACACCCTAAACCCTAAATCTCAAACCCTACACCCAAGAAGCCCCGAACCTGCTAAGAGCTACTGGTCAGGATGCCCTGCCAACAGCGAGGGCAAGGCACAGATACGTGGCTTTGAGGTTTGCTCGGTTTAGGGTTTACCCTTAGCATCAAAACAGCCCGGAAACCTTATATAATAGGGTGTTTGGGCCCAAAGGCCTTAAACATGTGAGTCCCTTGAGAAATCAAGGAATCGATCCCCAAAAACTGGAGGCCCTAGTTGAGGGTTTAGGGTTTCAGGGCCTATAGGTTTAAGCTGTGTAGGGCCTATGTAGGGCATTGCAGGGCTTCACCAACGCCTGAACCCTAAACCCTAAACCCTAAACCCTAAACCCTAGCGCGAGGTTTGAGGATGTCGGGTTGGACGGTACCTGGATCCCCGATCCCCAGGGCTCCAAGTATACAAATAGGTAGTTCTCTAAATTAGGACCCTTTTTTTAGGTCCCCAATATAGTATGGCACCCTTACAAAAAGGACCCTAAAAGGGACCCTGATTTAGAGAACCACCCAAATAGTACCTACTTTGGGGTCTAAAGTCTGTAAATAATACATACTTTGGGCTATTTGGAGCTCCAGGGAATGTATGCAGAGCAGCAGACTTTTCTGGGTGTTAGGAGATTATTTTAGGTACTCTTCGGGGGTTCGAGTGCAGGCTAAAGTTAAAGGTTTGGGTTGTGAGATTAGGCCATGCGGTCTGGTTTGGGCTCAGAGGGTAGGGTTAGTGTTGAAGGTGTGCCTTCTGAGTAATGTGTAGCATGTACACAAGGATTTTTGGAGGACCAAAATCCTAAACCGTAAGCTCTGCAGGATAGTATCAAGCGATTGGTTTTAGGAGTATGTCAAAGCGTGCAGAGCGAGAGACTAGGTTCTTGGAGCAGGTAAGCACAAAAGCCCGAACATAGTCAAGTTTGTAGTTTTGGGCGGGGTCCCCAAAAAGCTTATTGGAAGCAGCTTGACGCATAGTACGTACGTGCTTCACCAACCCGACCTCCTACAGCCCGTAGTGCTCCTAAGAGTATCCTTTTAGCTTATGTGGAGGTATTCTGGTCGGCCCTGTATTTTCCTTATGAGACCTAGAAGCTAGAACAATGAGTTAGCTGCGCCCCACAGCTCCCGGGGGTCTTGTACAGCAATATAGGGGCCTAAATAACTACCTACAAAATTTCTTAGGGTTCCTTATGAGAACTATACTATAAAGGAGCCAAAAAACCCTGTTCCAATTATTAAGGCCCCTACAATAGGACTACATGTCCTTCTAATCCCCAACAAGACCCCATCCGCCTCACACTGTAAAGCTCCAGAGCCAAATCCCTTCACAACATAAGAACTTCCCCGCACTCTCATCATTAAAGGACTTCCGACACCCTAAACCCTAAAGTCTAAACCCCAAACCCTATAAACCCTAAGCCCTACTCCTAAGATCCAAGGAGCAACCCACGAGCGGTTGGATCTGTCCCTGGAGCAGGCCAGGAAAGATGCAAGCAGAAGTTTCAGTGTCCCTCTCCTGGAGGGAGTTTCTTTGTGAACACATCTTCGGGGCAGTTTGCAGAGTCTTCATGGCTACTTGCCCCTACACCCCATGTTGGAGACCGGGACGCTTCCACCCTAAACCCTAAACCCTAAACCCTAAACCTAAACCCTAGACCCTAAACCCTAAACCCTAAACCCTAAACCAGGCCGTGGCTATTACCGTACGCGACCCGAAGCTGCTGTTGCGGATCCTAGACGCAGAGGGCAGCGAGGCAGGGCAAGATGCCGAAGCCTCGAACCCGAGTGTCGTGCCTTGAGCCGAGAGGTTACTTGGGGGCGCGGGATACGGTTGATGGACAAAATCCTGCATGACCTTAAATACAAAAACTATGGGATTTATGGAACTATACTATATTAGGTTCATGCAGAATTTTGTCCATCAACAGTAGTACGGAATTTCACATTCAGAGTTCAGAATCTTCAGCTTGAGTTGCTTCGGGTTTGGGCGTTTCAGGCATTTTAAGGCCAGATTGTATTCCGACCCGCATGAACTCGAGCCTCCAAACGCCGCAGAAAGCCTGGTCTTTGGATTTCACAACCAAGTAAAGCTTGGTTCCCCAGTAGTACCCTTTTGCCCTTTTTCTTTTTGGGCCCCCTTATTAAAACCGAATAGTAGGAAAAAGGGTGCCCCTATTATTAGGGGGCTACTGGGGAACCTAGAAAGCATTTTTTTAACATTCAAGCATATCGCAAAGGATTTTCGCTATTCGGAACTATAGGGTTATCCGGGGTGGGTTCCAAGCCGGGAGGTGGACTTTTCCGCCTGCCGTGACGTGGGCGTGCCCGCAGGCAGACCGGAGAGAGAGGAGTTTAGTTAACTAAGATTCCTTGGAGTCGGGGGACTTGGTAAGTATAGTTGTGATGTAAGCGTAATTATTAGTTTCATAATCGAAGTTAGGACCCCTTCCAGGGTACTGAGGAGTCTACTCTACTTATCACCTTCTTACAGAAGAAGCCCCCAAAGTGCGCTGTACCATAGTGTTCCTTATGCCGAACTCCTGTAGAGGCCGGAAGCACAACACCCTGAACCCAAAACCCGCAACCCTATACCCTCAACCCTAAACTGTGGACCCTAAACCCTAAACCCTAGACCCTAAACTCTAAACCCTAAACCCTAAACCCTAAACAGTATGAACCGTGTTGGGCCTTACAAGGCTCGGGCTTGGCATGTGGGTAGTTCTCTAAATTATTGTCCCCTTTAAGATTATACAAAGGATCCCAAAAGGGACCCGAATTTGGAGACCTGCCCAGGGTTTAGGCATTCCCTAGAGTCTCCAGTGTAATTCCTCTTTTTTGGTTAAGCATATTTCTATTATAGGACTATCCATGAAAATGGTTAGCCAAAAAAGGAAGGAACTACAATGGAGACTATAGGCGTAGGTGAACTAATGGCCCAAGACCTATATAAAAGGGATATTATTCTACATACTTTTGGGGTCCAGGTAGGGCTGAAGGCGACCCTAAACCCCAAAGAATAACACCAAAAACTCCCTCCATCTTCAAGCGTCGGAGCCAGAAATGCCCGAGAGGTCCACCCCCGGAGGGCTGACGGCGACAGTGGTGTGCCAGCACTCGAGCTGCCCCCGACAATCCTGATGTTCAGGACGCCAACGGACGAAAACAGGACTTAGGATGTAATATAGAGGCCTTAATGATTGGAATAGGGTTTTTGTGTATATTATACTATGACTGTAATAAGGAGTCTCCAAAATAGTATAGGCCCCTATATTCGGACTTGAGGGTCTTATTAGGCAAGGAGGGCATTTTTAAGCTTCGGAGAATGGCCCTTATTAATATAGGGGCCTCAGTAATTACCTATACGCTTTTGGGGGCTCCTTATTGTACTTATAGCATAATGGGCCCCAAAACCCTATTGAAATTTTTGAGGCCCCTATATTAACTCTTCTCCTACAAGTGGAAGCAGCACCCCAAAGGGTCCAAAGTACCGATATAGTAGAATGTAGGGTCTCTATACTAGGATTTGTTATTATGATTTGGGAAAGTATCCCCCATAACCCCTAAGCCTAAACCCTAAACCGGACCCTTTGGGCACCTCAATGCAATCCAGGCTCCTGGTTACTGCCGCATCTGCCCTCCCCTTCCTCGCAGGGCGACGCCTGCGTGCAGCCGCCTGCGAGGTGAAAGCTCAGGGATTCTGAGAAAATGGCCCTGCCTTAAGCACGAAATGTACCCTAAAAGGGTTGGGGTTCAGATACCATATTATAGAAATTCATAGTATAGGGGAAAAAAGGCCCTTACTCTTAGGGATTATTTGCTCCCAAGGTGGAATCAAAATCCATCCGCTTGAACTTGATGCAATGACTTCCCAGAACTTGAAGCATCATCCCCACAGAAGCCCTGCAGCGCACTCTTCGTGAGAGCACAAACAGAACTATTCGTCGTCGTACACGTCCTATTACTAGCACAACTGCATCAAAATAATAACAATATACTCATAGTTAGTTATAATACAACTAGTAACTACAACGCGGGCGGGGGGAGGGGAGGGGCGCTCCTTGGCGAAGCACTGCCGACTTCCTCTCACGCGTCTCCTCCCGCACGGCAATGCCCGCCCTCCTGGCAGCGAGGACACGCCGCTGCCTGGCATGGACGGCTGGGACTCAGCGATCTACCATTAGTCTCCATTGTACTTCCTTTTTTTGGTTAACCAAATTTACATTATAGGATCCTAACCATAAAATTGATAACCCAAAAAAAGGAACTACAATGGAGACTATAGGTATGATCTGCATGGCGTGCCGCATCAGAACGAGATTCTGTGTATGAAAGTAGGGGTCCCTTTGGGGGTCCTTTTTATAAGGGTGCCGTACTATATTGGGGGACCTAAAAAGGGACACTAATTTAGAGAATTACCCAAGTCGTGCCTCGCTTCATGATAGCCACCGAAGGGCGAAAACCACAGGCCGAGGGAGGTCTTCCAGTGTGCCGCGCGGTCTTCCAGCTGCTTCAGGTCACGAAACCCTTCGTGGACGTTCCACGGCCCACTGTCCTATACTGAACTTAGACCCCTAGCAAAAGCTATAATTTTAGCTGCTTCTTAGGGTTGATAGTAACCAAAGATTAATAAATATTTCTAAGTACCCCTAAGTGTCTGGGTCGTCCCAGCCGTCATCCAGCAGGAAAGAGTCTAGCATGACTCCTCGTCGTGACAGCTCCCTCGCGATGTGATCCAGCCGGTTTATTGCCTGCTCAGCATCGAACTGTTGGCCTGTTCCAATATCATACCAGCTGTTGTAGTGAAGCATCTTCCTCTGTCTGGTGCTTAGTAGGGAATGGGGGAATGGATCCCTATGATAGTCCCTTAAGGTCCCTTATAGTAGTTCCTATAACCCATTCCCCCATTCCCGACTAAGCACCAGACAGTCCTTGAGGGATGAGCACGCTCTCGCTCCAAGTAATGCAAGAAAGATCGCCGTACCTGGCCAGGCACCGTCACGCCCAGAACCAAAGCTGCGTGCGGGCCGTGCTCCTGAATCTTCGCAGTATGCTGCTTTAAGCAGCATCGATACTCTCCGGCCCGGGCTGAATTCAGGCCCTGAGGGTGCTCGAGACCAAAGAAGAAGTCATCTGAAGTAATGGGAACACCATCCACCTTCCCCGCCACAGAGCTGCCCGGCAAGTTCCCAGAGAGCAGACACAACTCCGCCTCCGCCTCCGGATCCACTTCAGCGCTCGTCTCGTCCGTGCTCCGCCCTCTGTAGCTCAGCCGTGCAGAGAGCTTCAGGTAGTTGGAGCCGTCCCGGAGCTCCACCGACCAAACTGCCATCCAGGGCGCTGAAAGCGACTCCATGACGGCAGTGACAGCCCATCCCGGCATGGCCAAAGCCATCTGGGATGCATTTGCCTGAGCTTCGATCCTGCTCCTTACTTCCCCAATAAGTTGAAGGGTAAACTTTCAGGTTACTACTAAATTATAAGAACCCAAAAAGTTTAAAGGTTGGGTTTTGGAGAACTAAGGCTCAGGTTCATGCCGACCACCCGGAAGTCGGTCAGTTCCTGGCTGGGGCCTGGAAGACGGGCAAGAAGAACATCTGCAGGAGGCATCCTGGGTTGCTGCTAAGGAAGTTAAGTTCTGTAAGTTGCTAGAATTAATAATAGTCATATAATAATAATAATAGTAATAACAATTACTAGTAATGATGATAATAATCATAGTAATAATAATAATAAGAAGAAACCCCATTATTTACAATTTCTCCCATTAGGATAACTTACATTAAGTTCCGTAACAGCAAGCCCGAAGCCCTAAACCCTAAACCCCTAAACTCTCTTTTAAGCAGCAACCCAGCATCTCTCGTCCAGACATCCTGTTTCTCACCCGTATCGGCTGGAGAAGTCCGTCGGCACCGGTGCCTGCGATCTGCGCCTCCAAGACGGCATTCTGCAGTCGGTAGCTCCAGTCCTTTGGGGGGCTTAGGGCTTTAGGGTTTTAGGGTTTAGGGTTTAGGGTTGAGGGTTTAGGGTTTAGGGTTTAGGTTTCTGGGGCTTTGGGTTTAGGGAGTACCCCAGCCAAGAAGGGTTAACCATCTCAGGAATGGTAGGGTTCTGTAAACCCGAAGAGCTTATGGGGCTACCTACTCAGCTACTACTAAGTTACGACTATGAACCCTTCGAAACTCTTATAGAACCCTTATTAGATCTTTTATGGAACCCCTTATGTACTACCCCAAAAAGCTATTTACCCTGAGCCTTAAACCCTAAACCCTATAAGCCCTTGGCTCTGTATGAGTTTAATTAAGGAAAGACGGATGCCCCATCAACCCTATAAGCCCTCAACCCTAAGCCCTAAACCCTATAAACCCTTAGCCCGAAGCCCTATAAACCCTGAACCCTAAACCCTATAAGCCCTAAGCCCTAAACTCTCAAACCCTAAACCCCATAAACCCTCAACCCTCAACCATAAACCCTATAGGCCCTAAACTCTAAAACCCTAAACCCCATAAACCCTCAACCCTAAACCCTCTAAACCCTAAGCCCTAAGCCCTAAACCCTGTAAACCCTCAACCCTAAGCCCTAAACCCTATAAACCCTCAACCCTAAGCTCTATAAACCCCCAACCCTAAACCCTATAAGCCCTAAGCCCTAAACCCTAAACCCCATAAACCCTAAGCCCTAAACCCTATATTATAGGGCCTGTAAACCCTAAGCCCTAAGCCCAAAGCCCTAAACCCTATAAACCCTCAAACCCAAAGCCCTATAAACCCCCAACCCTAAACCCTATAAGCCCTAAGCCCTAAGCCCTAAACCCCATAAACCCTAAGCCCTAAACCCTATATTATGGGGCCTATAAACCCTAAGCCCTAAGCCCTATA